TCTGTTGACCAGACAGCGCACGGTTCCTGGCACGTATGATTGGTGTTTCAATGTCAGTGTCATCCTAATTGTCATGGGGGCCAATTTCTATGATACTATCAGAATTGTCACTGGGGCCAGTTTCTAGGTATACTATCAGAATTGTCACTGAGGCAAATTTTTACGGAGCGTCTTTTTACCACAGAACACCACAGAATACCACAGAACACCCAAAATATACCACAGAACTACACAAAATACAATAAAACTACTAAAATATACCACAGAACATTGAATTACTTTCCAAATGCAAAACTAATAATTCAGAATTATATTATTTTTATAATTCGGGCTACACTAATGACAGGACGATTGACCGGATGAGATATAAATTTCTTTAATGATCATAACTTTTTTTGTTATTAGGGAGAGATACTAAACTGTATTTCATAAAAATCTTTTAAAAACAATTTATCTAAGTTTTTCTATAAAAAAAAAAGATTTTCTATAAATAAATGTTTTTCTATAAAAAAATGTTTTTTTCTAAAAAAAAAAGTTGACATGATGAATTTTCCTGGCGCCAATTACACTTTTAAGATTAAGTTTGTTCTCCCAATTCTGTTAATAAATTTCAAAATAATCAACTATTTACAAAATTGTCAATTGATTGAATTCTAGTTGCCATCTTAATATGCAAGGTATAATTCAATTAAATGGTTTATTCCTCCTAAAACTTTGTATGTGGGTCATTTGTAAGAAATCCATGTAGGAATAGAAGGAATAGTTGAATAAACAAGGGTATCATCAGATTAGATTGTCAAAACATAATGCTAATTAACTTCAGGTAAATATCAATCAAACCTAACGAGTTAGTTTTCATCAATGTGCAGTTTGAAAATAGTAATAGTAGAAAATATACAAAAAGTTCTAACAAAAGGCTTTGGCACAGCTACGAATCATATTAACATCTGCAAATAAAAACACTAATTTCTGTTTATCATCAAAAGACATAAAATCACTATTAAAATGTATGTCTTCATCAAATAATTCTTTTCTAAAATCGTCATATAACTGAAGGGCACGATAAAATAACATGGGCTTCATCTTCTAAAATATCCTTACAACTATCACAGACTCGCTCCTCTAAAAGTAATTTTTCAAATCTCCCTGTTTCGGTTCTTAGTGGTGCTACAATGTACACCACATCGAAATTTGACAAAAGAACTCCTTTGTGAAAATGACATTGGAATTGCACAATAAGTTTCCGTTTCAAAACTGTTCTTAAATAAGTTATATGTTGGAAGTTTGTTACCACCTTTACCAGATAAAGCTTTCTCTGACTGTAAATTGCATTGCCACTGTTCAACATATTTACTAAACATTTTAGACATAATAGTATTAACAACTGAAGTACTATGAACATATTCTGTAATGTTACACAAATGTTCTACATTACACTCAGAAAATGTTTTCGTTACATAAAAATTCCAATTTTTTATACACTTGTGTTTTTTACTCATAATGTCTGTCCATATGAAAACTTTTCTGTTTAACTGATTAAAACTCATATTGTTCAAACGGCACTATAGTCGTATTAAGCATTGCCATTGTTTTTGAAAGATTGGAATAGAAGGAATATTTATTTTCAAAATGAAGGAATAGCAGGAAGACACCCAATTAAATGTATTTGATGTCTCAGGTGTGAAAACTTAAATGACATGTTAATTGGCTTGATGAATTGGTGATTACAACAGTGTCAAAATTAGATAATCTAATTAGATTTTTGTTCTTTTAATGTGCCGTTGAACTCGCTCAGATCATCATTTTGGACTCAAAATATAGAATCTATATAGTAATGCTTCATATGCTAGTTTTTAATTATTAAGATGCAGTTCAACTATTTCTAAATGCATACAAAATTATGTAAAAATCTGAAATATTGTCCTATGACTTTTATTTCATCTCAAGTAAAGTATGTGTATACAATGTTTCATCTGACTTGCCGACAGTATTTGGTTTTGAACTGCATCAAGTGTATCAAGAATCTATTCAGTGTTTCGAAAGCCAAACTAATTTACTAGTTTGTGATGTCCATCTCAGTTGCCGCTATAGTGTTGTCAGAGAACGTTTTCCATGGACTATTATTCAATATTTAATAATATACATGTACTTATTCAAATTGTAACAACTCTTAACATAAAATTAAACAAAAATGACAACTACAACGATAAATACCCCAGAATTACAATTGTTTTAATACCGGTAGGTGTTTTTGGTATAGACCCAGTAATAGGCCATCTCAGTTTGGGGCGTAGCGATAGTGAGTCGACCCTAAAGAAAAATTAAATGTCAAATTATAAAAAGAATTAACAATAACAATAATATAATGTCTGAAGTATTTATATTTCGAAGTTCTGTGGTATATTTTTGGTGTTCTGTGGTATTCTGTGGTGTTCTGTGGTAAAAAGACGCTCCCCAATTTTTATTATTCTATCAGAATTGTCACTGAGGCCAATTTCTATTATACTATCAGAATTGTCACTGATGCCAATTTCCCTGATACTATCAGAATTGCGACTGAGGCCAATTTTTATTATTCTACCAGAATTGTCACTGGGGCCAATTTCTATTATACTATCAGAATTCTTACTGGGGCTAATTTCTATTATACTATCAGAATTGTCACTGAGGCCATTTTTTATTATTCTATCAGAATTGTCACAGTGCCCAATTTCTATTGTGCTATCAGAATTAACTGACATGCATGTATCAATTACATTTGTTGTCTCTGGGTATTTTTGTATTTTGTAAATAAGGTTTATTATGTTCTGTAAATATGTTGTGTGTATCAATGCTTTTTTTATAACAAAATCCATACTATAAATTGTTGTACAAGTTATAAGTGAATTTTAGTCGAATTTTGTACAAATTGTAATTTGTACAGGCACTTTTTGTACGAATTACAATTTGTACAAAGTCAAAATACAAATTATAATTTGTACAATTTTTTTGTACAAATTATAATTTGTACAAAATGATAACTTGTACACAACATATATATATATTGAACATGTTCTTGTAACGTAGATCTATATATTTAACATATTCTTGTAACGTAGATCTATATATTTAACATATTCTTGTAATGTAGATCTATATATTTAACATATTCTTGTAACGTAGATCTATATATTTAACATATTCTTGTAACGTAGATCTATATATTTAACATATTCTTGTAATGTAGATCTATATATTAAACATCTTCTTGTAACGTAGATCTATATATTTAACATATTCTTGTAACGTATATCTATATATTAGAATAAAACATGGTCTTGTAGCGTAGATCTATGTATCAAATATATTCTTTTAACGTAGATCTACATATTAAACATCTTCTTGTAGCGTAGATCTATATATTGAAATTAAACATATTCTTGTAACGTAGATCTATATATTAGAATAAAACATGGTCTTGTAGCGTAGATCAATATATTAAACACATTTTTGTAATGTAGATCTATATATTAAACATGCTCTTATTACGTAGATCTATATACCGGTATTAAACATGATCTTGCAACGTAGATCAGTATATTGAAATTAAACATATTCTTAATGTACGTTGATCTATATTTTAATATTAAACGTATTCTTGTAACGTGTTCTGTAACGTAGATCTATATATCAAAAATAATTATATTCTTGCACCGTAGATCTATATCCTTAGTAAGCAGCTGGTCTTCCTGGTCAAATAAATAAAACGTGTCCTGGTGTAGTAGTATCACGATTAATAAACAACGTTAAAGTAAATACAGGCTTTACATCACATTCTTTACTTACAATGAAATCTACCCTCAACTCTCCTCATTCTCTATTTTATATCCTATCGGCATGTCCTTTCTAGTCCTAATATAACATGTATAAATATGGAAAATATTTGAAAAGAAAGAATGAATGCTGATATGAACTATCATTTATTAATTACTGGTAATGAATTTTGATTTTTTTGTAGGACACACGGTCACCATAATATAAAATCTATGAAGGGCTCATTTGTAAAAGAAATATGGCCAATTGTTTGGTGTCATATCTAATGAACTGAGTTCCTGTTATAAAAAAAACGTTAAAATCCACTACACCTTATTATTTCAAAATGTACTTTGTTTAATAGTAAAATTGAGAATGGAAACGGGGAATGTGTCAAAGAGCCAACAACCCGACCAAAGAGCTGAAAACAGCCCAAGTCCACCAATGGGTCTTCAACACAGCTAGAAAATCCTGCACCCGGAGGCGGGATTAAGCTGGCCCCTAAACAAAAATGTGTACTAGTTCAGCGAAAATGGACGTCCGAAACATATAAATGAACCAAAATATAAAAAAACATACTAGACTAAGGGAGCTACCATTTGATTTTTATGGGGGGGGGGGGGCTAGGATGAAAAATTTTGTCCTGCCTTTTTATTTTTCCCTCTATTCGGTCCTGCCTTTTTATTTTTCACTCTATTCGGTCCTGGTATTTTTTTTTAGTTTATCCTGACTTTTTTTTACATAAATTGTCATCCTGCCTTTTTTTTTACATAAATTGTCATCCTGCCTTTTTTTTTTGCAAATAATCTCATCCTGCCTTTTTTTTTCACTCAAAACTCCTGTCCTGCCTATTTTTTTCAAATTTCATCCTAGCCCCCCCCCCCCCATAAAAATCAAATGATAGCTCCCTAACAAAGAGCATAGGGTTTCACCCGGCCAGGGCTACCCAAAACCTTCCAAACTCAAGGCGACCACACTACCACAAAACCACCGAGACAGTTATTGGAGAATGAAAATAGGGTTTCACCCGGCCAGGGCTACCCAAAACATTGCAAACTCAAGGCGACCACACTACCACAAGACCACCGAGACAGTTATTGGAGAATGGGGTCAGCGTCAGGTGACAATGAACAAAACGCCACAAAATGTTTTATTTATGGTGAAAGTCAAATGATACCCCACTAAGTTATATCACCACGAACAATCTATATCATAAATAGAGTAAATTTATTGTATAAATGATAAACAATAGAGACAGCTGTACAAACAAGTGTATAAATATCTCTGTTTATGTGCTTTATATAGTACTACAAATCCACACTGTGCAACTGTATCATTTGAGTCGACTTCCAAATCAATTTTCTAGTGTTTCTGGCTTTGATTATACCATGCCAATAATCTCACTATCACAGTTTTCACTGACCCAACTGTTTATCTTCTAAACCGTTTCTTTACAAATTACCTGGATGAAGGCTTCCATTTCAAATAGGTAAAATCCATTAAGCAAATGAATATAGAACTAAAATTTAAAATATATGCAGCGAATCTATAGACAATTGGAATTTACCATTACCGTAGGGTGTCAACTCAAATCATACTCGTAACACAGTGTGAAATCATTGTCAAACTAATTAAAATATACATTTGATATATTTACATCATTAGGAAAAGCCCTTTCCATGGCTATGTTGTTTTTAGTTTGAGACAGGAGTTATCTACAGCTTTTTATACTATAAAAAAGCAAGCAAAAAAAACATCAACGTAGTACATGAAAATAATTAAGCTTTATAGCTATCTAAATCACTTCGATGTCAAATTACATATATTATAAATTACATCATATTTGTTTTCAAATCATTTAAACTTCATAGGAATGTATAAAAAGTATATATCTGTATTAATTTTGCAATGATTTTTAGATAAATCTAGATCATTGTTACCTTACAATGAAAGTTGTAATAACAACTTTTTATGTTATCTCCATGGTGTACTTTTGGCAAGTTTTGGATGCTAGGAGCTAGGTGATTCTTCAAAATACTAGTAGATCTGAAATACTTCACAATATATAATGGAAGGTGTTTGGTTTAAAACACAGATCATTTACAAAGTTTACCTCGTCCCTAAATGTTATGGATAACTTCAAAGATTATTATGAATCATATAAATACTCAACACTACACATATTTTCACCAAACTATATGATTGTAAGTCATTTAATAATTGAGATATGTACTCCAACAAACATTTTAATAAAACAGTAAAATGTAGGTCAGAGTAAGCTTTTTGGGGAGGTTAATTATTTACCCTACAGAATGTATCCTTACACCAACTTTTATGAATGTAGATTACTTATCATCTGAGATCTAAACTTTGGAGTCAAACTTAATTTAGGTCAATCAAGCATATAACACTGGTCAAAGTGACCTACTTTTTAGTGGATGCTGCTATATTCCACAGATAAATCCTTACTTCAAGTTGTATGATTGTACACCATCTTGATTTTTATACAAATCCAGGAAGAATAAAATGATTGTTAGAGTGACCAATATTTTGTGGGAGTATATCATGTTTTACTTCACGCAGCCTGACACCAACAATGATTATAGACTTACTTTATGAAAACTGAACTTAAAATTAGAAAATAATCTTACAAAATGAATAATAACCTCTGAGCCTTGAATATTGGTCTTGTGTACTTCATTGTATTGCATATGGTCGGTCTCTCCAATATGCATTTCCACATCAAATTATATGGCTCTATATCTATTAGTATCAGATAACTGGATAAAGATTTGCATTCCATAGTGTTTCAATAGTCAACCAAAAGTTTCAAAATTACTGTTTCAGATCCAATAAAGTACTTTCAAATATTATTGAATAAAGTAAGGCAATATGTCAGAAACACATAATTAAATTAAACAAAAAAAAACTAACAAATAACATTATTTCAGAGTAGCAATAAGTCTAATACCTCATTTGGCATATACATGTATATAATTCCTATTAGCTTAGGGCAAAAACATATTCCTTAAAAAAATAAGACTATTTCTAATAATAAAAAAAACTTCTTAAGGAGTCAATCCAAATGTCAACACAATGTAAAGATCCATGATTTTGAAAAGAGAGGGGGCCCAAACTAAGCAACGTTAGGATTGGTACAAGTAAAAAGTATATACATTAATGAAATTTAAAAAAATCGTTATGTACTTCAACAAAACTTGTCACAATACGCCTTATAGCAGCAGTATATTAGAAGTTAAAATATTCTCTAAGTAAACAGACAGCCACTTTCCCCAATTTGACCCATGTAAACTCTTGAGTGTTCCTTTAGTGGAATTGAATATGAAGATTGTGTAGATTATAAGCATCAGCAATTTGACAAGAAAAATACAAAATACGAAATTATATTAAAATTAATTCTTATGCTATTTATTTATAATCAATGAATAATCATGAATTAAAAATATAACTATGAAAGCACTATTCTCTACTTAAGGAATGGATTTGTACCTATAAACAGAAACATATATAATATCTGAGATTGGAAACATTACATTACAGCCATACATAAATCTGCCATGGTCAAGCATGTACCATTACAAAAGATTTCACAAAACTTCTTCCCCATTAAAATTGTTTGTAAACAAATGTGTTATAAATCAAAATTTAATATCAATATATGAGCTAGGTCTAATAGAAATCGACCTTATGCAAATGAATATCAATAGATCTGTTAACATATTTCGAGTTGAAATAGTCTCTATGCTAAGTCTGAAACTGTTTGAAAATTGAGTTGCCATAAGAACCCTACAAAACAGACCAAAATTCATCTTTTATTTCGTATTTGAATGTTCGAAAAAAAAAATCAGTCTTATACATGTACATGTATACTTGCACTTGTATAAGGTCAATTTCTATCAGACACAGCTTATAAATTTGAGATCGCCGTAAGTGAATACACTTGAATAAGGTAAACAAGTATTTTTTTGTAGCTGATTGTTTACAAGGAATAATGGGGGAAAAAAACCTTGGAATTCAGGAATCAATATCATACTGAATCTGCAGTTTCATATCTCCGGTATTATACATGTGGCTAATGAAAACAGAAAACTAAAATGATAACAAACAAAATATATAAACATCAATTTTCAAGTTAAAGTCTAAATGGAATGATTTGTTCAATTCTTAGCCCTGAACCAAGAACAGTTATGATTAGGAATGAAAATGTGTATATAATTGCAAGGGCACTATTTGTGCATAAAAAATACATTTTTATCACTTATCATTAATATACAGAACTTTAATTATACACCCTGTAATAATGGGAAAAAACCCTGGAATGTTAATTTCATAAAATAATAATCTAAACACAACAAAAAGTCTCAATCAGCTATCAAATAGTGGTCATTATTAATAGGTGAAGGAAAAAAACTTAATTCAAACTCAACTGAGATATTACTGAGCATTTGTTTTTCTTTCATCTTGCAAAAGCTGAAATAAGACAATCGTTGGACAAATATTAGTTAAAAATGTATACAAGTTTACTGGCATGCATTATCAAGCACTAATCTCTTATCAATAAATGACAGAAAAAGTAATTTTTGTCAAAAAAAGCATTAAACCTTATTTGAAAAAGTTGCATTTTACCAAGCAATTCATCAGTAAGCGTTGTTTTAGACGAGTAATATTTCAAAATATAGATATCAGATATATGCCCATTGAAATATCATATCACAAAAAATATTTTTTTATCACAGAAACATTGCAATCATGTTGGTTAGGGAAAGACAATTTTATTATTTAAATTCAATATATTTTGATTTCTGAATGTTTGTCTTTACAACTTTAAAGAAAGCAGGAGAAAAAATTTGATTCACAGTAGATATCTTAGAAAAAAAAACTGTCAAAAATCTTGAAAATATTTTACCTTATTTATTGGAAATATAAATACACTAAGCCTGATCCAGGCATATTTTTCAAATTTAATATTCATATAATATCTTAACTAAACAATATAGCAAAGGGAAAATAAAAAAAAAATTCAAAAAGGAACAGAAGTGATAAAAAAACATCTGTATGTCAAAAAACTAACACTTTATTTTGTTTCACCTTAAACAAAAGTGAAATTGTACCTTTTATGAAAATATACTGTTCCCATCTGGACATATCTTTAACTAAAAATTAACAAAAAAAGTAAATAAACAATATAAAACATAGTTCCTTTTTGAACATTAAATGTTCATTTAAACCACAATGGAATAGATGTATTGTTGATAATGTATGATATTTTATAGATACATGTTGCCCTGATCAGGATAATGGTAAACTAAAATGTTGCTATGCAGGAACTAATAAATATAACTATCACTTGGCTGTCTTTCTTGATGCTAATAGTCCAGAATCTGAAATGAGAAAAAAATAATAAAAATGCATGAAAATAGTCTGGTTTTTTGTTGTTTTTTTCTTTTTAATCTTCTGCTACTTTTATAAAAGACACCATGATAGACTCTGGAATGCATTATGTCTTCCAACAAAAAAATAACCATTTTCAGTCATATTTGTTTCGCTTTATTTTCTTTTTAAATGCATTTTGTTCAAACAAGATGAAAATTAACCAAATGCCATTGTTAACAGCAATTCTGACTGGACAACTAGCCTGAACAAAAATGGGTAATTGATTCATAGTTCACCTACCGAGAACTTGAAAGAATTTCATTTACAAATATTTCAATTTTCTAAGAATTGCTCTTTGGCCAAAATAAGGTGTTTTTTTTTATTTAAATTTGAAAAGCTGTGTTGTATTCATTTTTTTTTTTTAATTGGTATTTTTTCAGACCTGAAAGTCACAGACAGTTGTTGTTTTTTGAGGCTCTTCTAGCATTTAAAAAAAATGTTCAAATATTCAAATACAATACAGTTATCTTTAACTCACTATTTAAAACACGGTTTATATTCAAAGGTGGAAGAAAAAAAGTGCCATAGAAATCATTAAAATCAAGGGAAACTTTAATGTTAGAAGAGGATTAATGAAAACAAATTATGTTATAAAGATCTAAATACAAATGTACGATATCTGTAAAAATTTCACCAACTGTGGATTCATTTTTATTCGTAGATTACCAAATTTCTCTTGGATTTCATGGGTACAGGTGAACCATGAATTTAAATGTTCAAAGAAGTACAAATTTTCTATGGGCTTGTATCCAGACTTTTGCCAAACGACGAAATCAAATATCCAAGAATATATTTTATGCTTATAATCCAGGAAAATTGGTAATCCTTTATGAAGCTGAAACCAAAACACACTAAATTTCATAGACATCTAGATGATTGCATACAGTCTATAAAGAAAGACAAGTCTCCGTACAATATGACAAGCTCTCTAAATTCCATATAGTTTAGAAAAACGGTAAAAAATTTAACAGATGCTATCAAATATCTGCAATCACCATCCAATTCCCTATAGAGGAAAAAATAAGTATGGGGTCCAGTAGGATAACACCCCTTTTAGGTCACAGTGATCACATTTAAAATTTACCTCAGAGCAACAAGTCACTTTTATGCAAAAAAACAAAAACAAAACTTATAACTCACAGTATCGGTTTTGAACATTTTTAGAGGTCAAAGGTCTTTTTAAATGAGATGACAGGTTGCAAGGTTGCCAAGCCAAAGCCCTATAGGTGGCAGTTCCGATCTCACCATGTTAGAGCCTTTCACATAAATTAACCAGTAACCAGGTTCCTGTCATGGGGTAGGCAAATGAAGATGCTGGGATTTATACTGGTTTTTCAAGCCCTCAACCTGCCAGTTTTATTTTCATCAGTGGAATAACACACTTTGGAAACATGAGCTGATCAGAAACTAAAGTATTTGTATTATTTGTGTTCCAAAACTGTAAAAAAAAGTTAAGTCTACTTGTTGAACTAAGTTTATTATTTAGGGCTCTAATTCCTGATTTTCATATATATCTTTATTTTAGAAAATTGTTAAAACAATTGTCAAGACTGAAATAAGCAACACACTAGATTATGTTGACAATATAAATTTTTAATAATTACTTTCCGATTTAACAATTAATCAAATAACACAGCACTTAAAATAACATTCAAAATATAAAAGACTTGATTTAAAAAAAAATGAATTAAAGCATTTTGTTGACTTAGATCAGATGAAATTGCAACAACAATTTCATATCACATTATCAATTGTTGATAAAATCCAATAAACACAACTTGACCGACAAAGGAAAAGAAATACGACCTTCAAATATGAAGAAAACAAATAACCTTGATTAACAATTTATCACATCTGACATTTCTCAGATTACGTAACTATTGCAGAAGGTCAAAACTTCTGAATTTCAACATGTTCAATTTTCAATAAATCCCAAATCTTGGCTTAAATATTAGCAATAACAATATATTCGTATAATAAATTTTGTTTCTCATTTTCTGAATCAATTTCATTAATTGAATTAATTTCCTTGTTGAAATTGTAAAGCGGCAGTGCATGGTGTCTTTTTTCAACCTCATTGACTCTTTCTTACCCCACATCACTTTTTGTACACATAGAGTGTATTTCAAACATGAAACTAAAACCATAATGTAAGAGATATTTTCAAATATTTTCAAATAAACTGCATGCTTAGTATATACTATAGGGTATGGGTTTTTCTCATTGTTGAAGGCCGTACGATTGCCTATAATTGCTTACATCCACTTCAATTGAACTTGGGTTGATAATTGTCTCATTGGCAATCATACCACATCTCTTTATTTTTATATTGCATGCTTAGTATATGTATACTTATAATTAAATACAATTTTATTGACTCTCTTATTCATACGTTATTTGGAATTAAGCATTCATTGAAAATTTTCAAGTTTCAAACATTTTTGTCCAAGCCTCCTACCAGGCTGAGAAAATTTCATAGGCCGATGCGGCTTCTCCGAAGCAAGAGGCTTAAACTTTTTGTCCAAGCCTCCTACCAGGCTGAGAAAAATTCATAGGCCGATGCGGCTTCTCCGAAGCAAGAGGCTTAAACTTTTTGTCCAAGCCTCCTACCAGGCTGAGACAAATTTTCAATATAATCTATATACATGAAGAAAGGGTATCATTAATTTTATAACATACCAGGGAAAATGTCATGCTCATTCAGGATGATAACATATATAAAACAAGAATGTGTATATAGTACAGGTGGATGCCCCACTCGCACTATCATTTTCTATGTTTTTGACCGTGAAATTGGGGTCAAAACTCTAATTTGGCATTAAAATTAGAAAGATCATATCGTAGGGAACATGTGTACAAGTTTCAAGTTGATTGGACCTAGCTTCAACTTCATCAAAAACTACCTTGACCAAAAACTTTAACCTGAAGTGACCAAAAACTTAAACCTGAAATTTTTCTATGTCCAGTGGACCGTGAAATTGGGGTCAAAACTCTAATTTGGCATTAAAATTAGAAAGATCATATCATAGGGAACATGTGTACTAAGTTTCAAGTTGATTGGACTTCAACTTCATCAAAAACTACCTTGACCAAAAACTTTAACCTGAAATTTTCCATGTTCAGTGGACCGTGAAATTGGGGTCAAAACTCTAATTTGGCATTAAAATTAGAAAGATCATATCGTAGGGAACATGTGTACTAAGTTTCAAGCTGATTGGACTTCAACTTCATCAAAAACTACCTTGACCAAAAACTTAAACCTGACTTATTGGTTTACTTTTATAAATTTTGACTTGGATGGAGAGTTGTATCATTGGCACTCATACCACATCTTCTTATAACTATTGACCAAAAACTTTAACCTGAAGCGGGACAGACGGACAAATGGAGGGACGAACGAACAAACGAACGGACTGAAAAACATAATGCCCCTCTACTATCTTAGGTGGGGCATAATTATACAAACAAGTATGCATTAAAGAGTGGGTCAACCAGGATAAGGGGGGAGAGGGAGGGGCGGGGGGCAGTTTGTAGGTTGAGAAAAAGTAGAGGGGATGCCACTATATTATCTTTATACAAGGTGGTTGTACAAGAAATATCTATATTGAAAATGCATGTTCATGACAAGAGAATATACTATTATTTGTACATGTGCCCCGACATAACTACAATCCAAAGTAGGACTAATTTACTGAAATGTTCTTTGTGATTGAAAGGGTAAAATCCATCATAATGATCTTTATAATATGACATCACACATGCAAACAAAGTATCCAGTATGTGCCTCTGTAGAATATGTCATGCTTTGAACAGGAACAGTGAACCCTGAAGCATCATTGGTTAATAATAGGCTCATCTAGGACTGACTGATCCTTAAGCCTAATTTTCCAACGCTACCCAACTCTCCATTTATTTTTGTGGTCATCAAAATTTTTACCCCAATTTGTGTCCCATTCTAACAAACCCCCTCCTGCTTTTTCTTATCCATTTTCATTTCATATTCATTGTCTCAATATTAACTCATTGTGTAGCTGGTGCATAAAATACCATCAGTAATTTAACAATCAAAAGAAAATAATATGTCAGTGTGAATTCATCTTTCATGAACAAAAATTGTAACATCTACCAAATTTACTTTGAGCGGAATCCTAAAACTGGTCTAATTATCTCCCTTTGGGATGACACAATTAATAACCTTTCCATCAATGCTGACACCATTTTCCAACTGAGACCTTTTTACAGCTACAGGCTCTTACATCACTGTCGTAGAATTTCTTCTCTTATATAAAAGATCATGCAATATTCCATGGATTACTTTATTGTTTATGACTATTTTGATGTAATAAGAAGCCGTCTAATACCTCCAATGTCTATAATAACTATAATTTCACACAAAAACGGAGCAGTAATTTCGTCTTTCTTTTGTTTTATTACTATAATGAAGACTTATTTACTTTTTCCAAATTAATTTCTGTATTACATTTATTTCTTTTAATGTGTTTTTATGTCAAGTTCTGAATCTACTTATTTTCAGATCTAATTTCTGATCACGAATAAACAGAAATCATGCGGGAATTATGTGATCAAAACCATTAAACTGACAAACCTCAAATCATTTAATTCTTGTATAATCTGTGTAAAAAAATCATCTGTACTTTAAAAGCCATTAAACTTTTTTCATATGCTTCAATCTTTTGTCTAAATGCACCACAGGGCATGCTCAAAATTAATTTCCTTAACAAAAATAATTTTCAAATTATACAATGTCATTAAAAAGTTACCATTTTTCTTTTTTTTTTACGAGTTTGTTTATTAAGTTAATTATTTGCAGGATAATTCTTTCTTGACAAGTCTTTTATTTATTTGTTAGATTTTCTTTTTCTATAACAACACAAATAACTGCCTATCCTTGACAATACTAAAATAACCGAATAATTCCAAACAAACA